ATGTTGCACACATACCTATCAGCTTTGAGAATCAATGGCTAAGGATTCTTTCCTTACAATCAGATGATGTGTTCTGCATCCCTTGAGTTATAGGGTATGAATTATTATTTAACTGAAACAGTAATATTTCAAAAACATATTAGACTGTACCTGAGCTACTGCACAAACTCTGCTGTGACCTAAAACTTAAATACAGTGTAATTAAAACTAAAGCCACTAATTTTTTGAGGGCTGTACAGCTTTCATGTCTGAAATCTCTATTTGGATATTAAAAAAAAAAAAAAAAAAACCTGAAACCACCAACGCAAACCAGATTCATTAACCCATGCAATTAATGCACACCCTAATCACTGTAATGATCATGTGTTTCCCACTGATTTTTCAGGCATTACTAATTAGCCGTGCTGTTAATATTGCAATTTCAGTAACAATGTCAAAGGAGAAACTACAATCATCGAATTTCACCTTCAGAAGAACTAACATGGTACATTTTGAAAAGGGCCTGCTCCTCTGCCTGCAAGCAGTTTTCATGAACTTTTTTTTCCAGTTTGTGAAAGAGAGATGTTGAGCAAAGCCTAATTAAAGGGCATGTCTCAACACTGTTGCATGAGACTTCGCAATAGTGGTTCTGTGCATCTTGAAACACAACAGTACTCAGCTCAAGCTGACAAGGCCCTGAGCACCCCAAGCCCTACAGGAGACCCAAGTAGACAATCTCCACACAACCCTAACAACCTAAATGCTTCTGTGATATTTAATGGATGGAAACAAATATTTAGTGTCAATATGAGATCGCTGTAGTAACAATCAAGGCATTTTCTTTCAGTATTTATTCTATATGATGAGATGAAAGAATTCATCACAGCAATAACAAGAAAAGCAGTTGCTATATAATAAGAAATTAAGCCTGATAATTAGTCAAAGTAGTTTCCAAGTAATATAACTGAGGTATATATAGGCATACAATAGAGGACAACTTCAACTTTCAAGGAGTTTTTTCTTTTAATAAATAATAGTTATCATAAAATTCATTGAAACATTAAGTCAACTATTTTAAAAATGCTTATTTGTAAAAAACATCTATAGGACAGCTTTCTAGGGTGAAAATGATTATTAATCAATATCCCTTTTAGCGTAAGCTGAATCACATAAAAGTATCAAATATTTTATGTAATTTGTAGGTATGAGACATCACATATTTGTTCTGATTCTTCTGTTCATTTTAATACAGGAGAAAAGTTAGATAGGATATGCTACTAGAAAATATAACTAAATTGTCTCACACTCACAATTAGGATTTGAGGCTTTTAATGGCTTAGTTACAGCAAATAAACCGTGCATTTTATCACAGTACTGACAAACTCTCACTTAACACATGATGTCTCTAATTTGGCTAAGTAATTTGGTACAGTAATTTGGCTGTACAGTTCTATTAATATTATCTTGGATATGGAATGACTTTGCATTTAAACCAATGCTATTTGTCATGCTAGTTTAAATTTAAACATCCCACATCTAGCACAGTCTTTGTAATATTATCTTTTAAAAGGTGCTTATTTACACAAGCAGCTATAGGCTGATCCATTACTATGAGCAGAGTCCAAAGAACAAAATAGCAACTGCTCAAATTAACCACTGTTGCTGTTAAGCATCACATCTCTTCCAAGGCAATAAGCAGTTACACTCTCCCTGTGCATGGAGAACTTCCATTTGCACCAGGGAGGGAATGGGCACATGAAGAGAGAACTCTGCCATTTCTGATATGATGGATCCTATTATAGCATCCTCCACTGGTCTCTGCCTGGTAGCTTTATGAAAACTTCTCCAATTTGTCAGATTTATGAGTTTCAGCATCAAAAGCTTGACTGAATGATGTTAACTTAGCTGCCCTAGTGTCTTATCTCCTTTTTTTGTCATCTCGAAACTCCAGTGGTCCCAAATAACCAGAAATTTTAATAGTTTCACACAATATTTTTTTTTTCTTTTTTTTTTTTAATTTTAAGAAATAAGGGAGTGAGGTGACCCAGCCTCAACTGTGGAGACTACCATGATTAAGTCAATAGCATCCAATTCAGTGCAGCCATGCCACACTATCATTGCTGATGAGCAAGTAATATATGAACTACGCTTCATCAATCACTCATGATATTCTTAGGAAAAATAAAAATTTGGGTGTTTGGGTATTATATATTTTCTAAACAAAACAATAGTCTCAGGAAAACAGAAAATACATCCTGTAGGAACAGAACTGACATATGAATAAAAACCATTTACTTGGTTTCTTATAACCAGTAATCCATCGTTCCCAGCCTCTCTCACGACAGAGCAGCTCACCATATACCACAGTAACGACAGAGCTGGCTAAGAGGTAGAATATTTTCACATCTTTGTGAAAATAGTTTTCTCACAGACACTTGCTAGTCTTGAAAGTAACACACTGAAAATTGGACTGGGATTTCATCCTTCCTGCCTTCTAAGATTTTCCATATAATGGAGTGTGCTTAATGCATTCTTGCCCTCCAAACCTAAACGAAGTCGAGCCAGCAAAGCCATGTTCCCCTCTACTTCATATTTCATCAGTAGCATAAGCTACTCATATCTGGAGACAAATTCTCATCTCAATGACACCAGCATCCCCACAGCAGGTGCCTTTTCAGCAATACATTTATACTCACTGCTGTTAATACACCAGTTCAAACACCTAAGCTCCTAAAAAAATAAAATAAAAGATTACAGCCTAGCTAACATAGTTATGCCAATAAAACTGTTCTAGTGGCAGCAAGGTTAATTCTTAATTTAAAAATAATAAGAGAGATTCTAATTCATTCTCTTTGTTATGATCTTAGATTAACGCTTGCACATCCCTGACTTCATACAGAACACTATCCTGAAGGCAACAAGACTGTATTAGAATTTCTGTCTGGAACTCAGTAAACAACATCATTTCTGGTAATCAAAGAAGAATGTAATTCCCCTTTCAACTGTTCTCGCTTAGCAGTCTCCGTAAAATTTTTAAGTAATGAGAAGTATTTTGCCCATAGAAGTAGCAATTTTACTTGAATATAAGGAACAACAGCATCATTTCAGTCACAACTACTTTTCAGAGTAGAATCACACTAGAACAGATAAGCTACACAGTAGGCAAGGAGACCTCTGAAAACAACCAAGTGTTCAAAACACTTTGCTTAATTTATTCCCAAATACCAACTGTTGGACCTCAGTATAATTATTGCTACACTCATGTTTTGGGAGAGCTGCTGAGGGAAATATGCTATCAAGTCAAACCCACGTAACAGAGTTGGAGGAAAGGTATAAAAACTTCAGAAAGCATAAAAGCTTCACATTGTTTCCAACCCTAGTGGTTATAAGAAAGCAAAAGCGTTGCCCAATGCAAATAATGTCACTCTACTATGTTGCACCTCAGCCCTGACCTGCAGCAAGCCTGCTGCTCCAGTTCCTATGCCTCTGCCTTTAATCCCGTGGGAAGAGGATAAGCTAGAGGTATGGGTTTATGAGAAGGACAAACACCCATGTAAGGCAAGGCTGATACCACCACTCATTTTCAACAACAAGCTCCATCTGCCCAAGAGGCAAGAGCAGCAGATGAACTTGTCAGCCCTTCAGGTCCCGTTTGCTTTGCTCATGCAGGGCAATCCCTGTTCACAAAGGCACGCTGCCAAACAGCTCATGAGCAGGGGCCGGTACCTAACACTGCGTCAGGAGGTGCAGCAGCACTCACTCACCACACACACAGCAGCAGGGGGGTGGTCCTGAACAAGCCTTAAAAACATAAAAACATTTGGGAAGAACTGAGCATACGCTTCTGGTTGGAAAAAAGAAAAAAAAAAAAAAAAAACCCACACCACAAACATGGCTGTCTTACTGCTCTCCTTAGCTCCTGGGTTGAATTTTGTTTGGTTAGGGTGTTTTTGTGCAGCGCGCCAGGACATAGATAAACACCTCTTCCCATCCCCCACTATAGTACCCAGAAATTTTGGCCAAAACACATGCCATTTTTGTATTGAACAGAAATCAGCAAGATGGGAACAGGTGTCCAGCCGAGGCTATCCTATGTTTTCATTTTAATCAGTAGCACCCACCATACTAAGGTTTCAAAAAATAACACAGTTTATGTGCAAGTTTCACTCATATCAGCTTATAACAGCCTTTTTTGTGAATCCACACACCTTTACACTCACATCCAAAACAACTGTTATTAATGCTGTCTGTTTTCACTGCAAGTATTTCACTCTCCCTCACATTTTCTTTTTTTTTAAACCATAAAGCAAGCATCACCCTGTCATTTGATTGCCTTGTTCACATGTTTTAAATTTAATCAGAATACCTGAGGTGTCAATAATATGTTTGTCTCTGACAAGAATTAGAAATGGAAATACAGCTCATGCACCATAACCATAATATAATCTGCAGTGCTGCACCTCAACAACTGACTTCTCAAGGAGTCTAAAGCAACCTCCTCTTTTAGTTGAAAACATATAATGGAATTCAGTGTTTTGAAACTACATTTAATAAACCAAGTAACCTGATTCAAATACTAAACAATAAATTAGTTAAAAGCCACTAGGCAAGATGCCATGATCCCCTCTCAAATCATCAGCATCACCTTTCAAAAAACAGATTCCAATTAATGAAAATAAAAATGGGATGGAAAAATATGTCACTATTATTTTAGATATTTATTGCTAGAATAATTTCTCTTCCCCCCCCCACCCCGGTTGCTTAAGAAAGTATTGCTAAAGCAGTCTTTGCAGTGAAGCTGGAAAGCAATACATAGCCTAGAGTGCCCTCTTTCTTTTCCAAGAGGACTGTTAGGGAAATATTCTGTTAATGAAGACATCAGTCTGTTGTTTCCCAGAAAGAGAAACCAGACTGTAATTAAAAAAAAAAAAAATCTAAATATAAAAGCAGTTTAGCATTATTTAAGTGATACCCTTACACCGGTGATGAACGTGATTCTAGCTTAATAAAAATATACTTACAGAGCCATCTGAAATTGTTCAAGCCATTTTTTCTTCAAGTCTTTTGTTTTGCAATAAACTTCTAAACCATTTTGGCCTTGGATATGAATGAGGTAGAAGCCATAAGACCACTACATGAAAAGATTGGCAAGAAAAGGTCATCAGTTAAGAAGAAAGGAAAACACAAAGAAAGAAAAACTAGAGAAGCATTTTTATGCTCCTTAATTCCCTGGATTTAGAGAATAGCAAGACTACCTTATTGTGTTCACTTAAGAATGCTTTACTCTAACCTTTTAATTACATCAGACTAAGCTAAGCTGAAATCCCAAAATATTCACTTCACCCTACATTTAAAAAATAAAACTAAATAAACTCTATATACATTCTGAAATCCTGCACAGTGTTTCAAGTTGCTGATTGAAGTATACATTTTATATGAACTAGCAACAAATATTTACCTTCTTATTTTCCTTATCAGTAGTGGGATTATTTGTAATTTTGTATTTCTGAAGATCTATTATTTCCTTCATTTCATAATTATCACCTCTTCGCTTGCAAACAATTACAGCTAGATCAAACAAGAAGATATGCCTATGAAAATACAATACAAAGGTGGTTAAAAACCCTCCAGAAAGCCAACACCCAAAGTCTCATTTTAGACACTGTGGCACTAAGATTTTTAAGGTGAACAACTACACTACTGAATAATGAGGAAAAAAAACACACACACCCCAACAACCCACCACAAAGTACTTTTGCGAGAGACTTAGGTGATCTTAGGTGATAACGTAATAGCTAGCTTCCCACGAACTATTGTGCAAATTCACTTGGAGGCTCTGTGAATGCACAGTGAAATAGAAAGGACACTCAAAAATCATTGAGCTGACCTTAAATCTAAAAAGAAAGTTACTTTAGAGGTGCTTTAATAGCAAACACCAGAAGTCATGACGTCACCTGTCTTGCCTTGCACGTTTGTCTAAGGTAGTTATCCTTATTTCCCCATCACCTTGAGGTCTTCCATACTGTAAGAGGGAATGATTCTGAAACAGAAGTAATAGGTATGATTCAATATAACAAAAGTGTCAGGATGAATTCAACCTAACAAAGGTGTCAGGATGACGACACATTCAAAGGTTAGACCACACATTCCTTTATCCCAAGAAATGGACTTCTCAGGCCTGAAAACAACATGTTTTCCTCACTATCATCTAAGCTGAATACAATAAAGAATCAGCCCATTCCATTTTTGTCTTCAAATGGGAAAATTTTTCCCATTACAAAAAAAACTGTCATCGCTGTACAAATACAGACCTTTAACTATGCAAATATCTTTAACTACATACCCCCAAACAGCAGAGATTTCTTTATTTAAATATTCATGTAATGCTAAACCAAGCAAAGCATACTTAAATATTACTAACAGTACTATAGTCTCCTGTGAAATGGGGAAAATACCTCTATCAATAAATTTGATCAAAAGTGATTTAAAAATTGTATGATTGAAAACATGACATACCAAATTCTCTATTGATAGTTGAAACTGTTTAATTTCACGGAGCGTTTCATTATCCCTCTTCACTTCATTTACATATTGAGCCAGATCCTAGAGCATCAACAGAAAAAGAGAGGGGGAAAAGATTTTTCCATAACAGGCTACTTTAATACATTATTGTGGCAAATGTATTTTTAATTTTGTCTTTGACTTTTCTGCACATTTATCCTTTACTATAAAAACAAGTCTTTCATGTTCAAGAATTACTAATATTTATGGCTAAATAAAGGAAAAAAGCCTCTGCATATCTAATCATATTTACAACCTTCTTCGTATCTATTGAAACACAAATTTAGTAGCATGCAAGAGGGAAACACAAATAGTAAAAAAAAAGGACTGAGTTCTGAATTTCGTTAATGTCTTATTTTGAAGATTAAAGATGGAAATGTAACTTATGCATCACACTACAAAAAAAACAGCCAATAACACCCAGCATTTGAGAATAAGACAGAAGGGAAATAGAACATATAGTAGAAAATGTATCTAAGACAGCTCAAAAGCAGCCTGTTAGAGGTAAACACATCATAAGCCTGAGTGCTTATTAGGAGACAAGAAACTACTGCCCCCAGCAGTAGTTCTTGTTCTTACTACTGCACAGCAGACAGAAGCCATTACAGAGAAGATTTTAAAAGGGACTTTTAATGGGATATACCACCTGAAGTCACAGGTTGAGATCATTGTTATCCCCTTTACCAGAACAGGCACCATACACATCTCACTAAAGCCTTTAAAATGCTTTGAATGCGCTTGAGTAACAGTGACAATTTTCTGGGGCTTCTCTGTTTATGGCTAGAGATGAGAAGTGAGCAGGAGTGGTAACTGGTAAGGTCAGGGATGCTGAAAGCAGCAGTTGGAAGAGACATTCTGATCTTCACAACTTACTTTTACAGTATCCCTTCAATATGATTTCAAATTTAGAGGGTAGGAGAAAGACACATCTTCCTAAGACAGTTTTAATCACAATCTAAGAATAGCTGCAATCATTATGCTAGCTTCTCAAATGAATCTGTGCAGGATACACTCACATCAGGGTTTTTTTTTTTAAAAGAGTTAGCAGTGAGAAAAGAGGTTATTTCATTTTAGTGCTAGAAGAAATCTGACAGCATAAGCCTTCCTAGAATTTTCTTTCGGGGGGGGTGGGGGGGGGAGGGCAGTACCACGTTAATGACAGTTTTTCCAAAGACATTTTATTTCAAAGAGACACAGCAGGCTATTCAGAAGCAACGTACCTGCACAAGTAGTGCACAATCACATCTAGTAGACTGGCAGGGACTATTGTCAGAGGATACAGTAAATCACAAGGGAAACAATGCTGCAGTCACACCTGAGGGGGGCATGGGTGGTGGCTTTTGGAGGTTTTTAATTGACTGGCACAGTCACTCCAGCAATAGATTGCTTAGTTGGTCTTTTATTTTCAGTCCAAGAGCCATCAAAAACAATGAAGCAAGCCAGCAAATAGGAAAGAAAAAGCAGGGAGGGTAAAAAGCAGGGCTATTTTCCTAGGCAATGAGCAGCAGCCAGGATGCATGGCTTGCCACTAGATGGAAGCAGCACTGTGCCATCCTGTTTCAGGCAACTCTCCATGGGTGATGCTCTCTGCATTCACTGCACAAAACCAGGTGATAAAAAAGGGGAACCAGAAATTCATTTGTGAGCCTGTATTCCAGGCTTTCAAGGCAGATTGTTACATAATGAGAAATGGCTCTGACCCAAAACTAACTTAGTCAGACTTCAACATCTTCTACAGACCATACAGATTACAACAGGACATTTGACCTATGTCATGTTGGCTTCCTTCTCCCTTTCCACACAAAGGATAGAAAAAATTTCACAACTCCAGCACATGAATGTCACAATTCATGCTGTGAAGCCAACTGAAGCAGAACTGTGCTTCATTTCTGAAGCTGTACAGAAGAATATATATTGCCTTATACATAAGGCAGTAGAGCTATTCTATAAAGCTTTTGTGTGTAGCACTTGCAGATGAACACACAGTGACAGATACCCTACCTCCAGAAAGCCACTGCTGCTTTCAAAGGTAAAGCCACACAGATCATATTAAGATGACAGAAAAGGAGTCTTGTAAAGAAAGATAACAGTCTTCATCCCACTGGGAAACTATTGACCTTGATTAGAATTGACTTACAGTGGTAGAAATATTCCTAAATTTTGGAACTGAAACCAACATTATTGGAACACCTGGTTTTCACTTCATTATATGACAGAAAAATGATGCAGAGGTAAACTGAAATAAAGAAGTTCAATTTCATAAACCCTCCACTTCAGAAAACTACTGAACTTGTTTCACAGGCTTGAGCAAAGCCCTCAACTATATACTTGCCCTGACATACAAAGCTCACCATGACCTCTGAAAACATGTTTGATGTGCTCTGAAGAACATTATCTCCTCCAGGAAATACAGTTCTGAGCTGCCATTTTAACTGCCAACAAAGACATAAATACTTACCTTCATTGCATCAAGTGCTAGTTTTAGATTTGACTTCTCCATGGGATCAGTTGTGTGCTTTACCAGCTCCTGTGGACAGAGCAGGTTAAAACTTTTCACCCACAGCCTGTCAGTTTATAAATTGAAGTTGTCATTGCTCGTCCCCACCTCAACCCCCCCCTAAAAAAAAGAAAAGAACAGAACCAGAAAACACAACCCAAGAATTCACATTTCATCCCCATAGTGAAGAGCCTATAATGGAGTGGGGACTACTGCAAACAGATAATTGGCAAGTGTTTAAGAATGATTGCAGTATAGCCTAAACACTGACTTAGCTGATAATGAAACATCATTAGAAGCTAATTTCAGCTGTTTAGCACTTAAAACTTGCCAAATCAGATCATTACTGTATGTGTATGCAGAAAGCACAGGTAAACACTTGAATTCATTTGCACATTACTATCAGGTGTATCATCCCATTCCAAAGCACCCATTTCTCTGCTGAGAGGGATGTATGCGGGCAATAAAATCTCGGCTGAACTGTGCACTGCTTAAAAGAAGTCACTCTCTCATTACACTTAAGATAAAGCTGACTCCAAAGACATATTTAAATCAAATGTAAATGTTTAAAGAATTATTTCAGTCACTTCCTATATGGAAAATAAAGGGGCTTTTTTGGGTTTTATGAAGTGGAAAAAGTAACCTCTTGGGGAAACAGGTTATTACTTCTGCTTTATAATTTGAGAAGAGAATTATAGATTTCAGCTAATGCAATAACTTGCTAAAATTGTAGGAAATGAAGGAATAAGTATTTACACTTCACATTATAATTCCAATAATTTACTGGATTTTTCTCTTTGAAAGTCTATAAAATATTTTTCTTGTACAACGTATATTATAATGCTGCACAGAGCATAGTGACATACTGTATATCATCTTTTCATAATATACAGTTTGAATATGAAGTCATTGCTCAGTTCTCAGCATTTTTTTTTTTTCCAAAAAGCAGCTGTACCATTCATTTTGGGTTTTCCAATTTTCCATTGATCAAAATATTGATGACTCATTTATAGACATATTTCAAAAACTTTAATACTACAGAATGTATGTTGCTCTGCAGAGTCAAAATTATGCTTCACATACAAGTAGTGGATCTTTTTAAAATGACATTTTACAAGCATCAGCAGGGTTGACAGTCTAATACAGTAATATATTTCTCTGCAGCTCAACTAATGAGTCTCCTGGCAGAGCTATCAAATTAAATTTATAAGACTCTCCACCTTATTACAGGACTAACTGCAAAAGCTAATGCTTTGTGGGTTATAACGAGGCATTTCAAAATAAATATGGCTTTATTGTAATTTATGACAGCAAAGAAGCATCTTAGAAGTATGCTCTAAGTACAGTCCAGCTTTCTGTTTTGGGGGATAATGGTTCACATTTCCAAGTATCATGATTACAGTTTGGTACTACCAACAATTTTAAACATACCAAGATTGGAAGATTCAGATACTAAAGAAACAATTGTGGTTTATTCATTTTTCCCTCAGATATGCTTCAGCTTTGAGGAATGATCTCTGTAAGAAAACCTGCACTTGATTGGATTTTATTTCATAATAACTCAGCCTCAAATGGAAATAGCAATCACTTCCCATTGATAAAGACCTATAGCTCTCATCCTTACAATATGCTGGCGATAAACAATCACAGTTTTGCTGTCAGCTTCCTTAAATTTCAAAAATAAAATACCTGGAGCAGTAGGTGATATTTTAGCACTCTCTGCATTGGAACCACTAAAAGATCCCGCAATGTAAATTTCCCATTATTTGCTCTCTTGGAACATTCCTAGTTCAATGGAAAGAATAAGATAAAAGTTAGAAAACAAAAATATCCAAAATCTATATCTTAAAATGTAGTGATATATGGGCCAAACAACTATATTAAGCCTGAGATAAAGAATATCAACAAATGAAAACAGTTGCTACAACAAAAATAGCTAAACATAAATGGCTGTGTCTAAACACTCATTCTTAGATGTTCCAACAGCATGAAAAACAGCAGGAAGTAGAATAAACATTACAAAGACAACAGAAACTAGGTGTTCCACTGAAATTAAAAAAAAAAAAGAACAACCCAAAAGATGCTGCCTATAAACACAGCAAAGGCGGCAAATATTACACCTATCTTCAAAAAAAGCAAAAGGTAATATTAGAATCTACAAGCCAGTCATTCTCACTTCAGTCCCTGCAAAACTTCAGGAACAAGTCCTCTTGGAAGCAACTTCTGGGCACACAAAGAAAGTTTCTGGGAATATCCAGCATAGATTTACCACAGTTAAGTCAACTCTTGACCTACTTGACTGCTTTCCACAATGAAATGGCTAGATCTGTGAATGGATGGGGAGAGTCTACATTAACTTCTCCAAGGCTTTCAACAAATTTTCCCACAGCATCTTGATATCCAGGTTGGGATGTTATGCTCCAGATGAATAAACTACTAGGTGTATGAAAAACTTCCTAGATCATGAGGCTCAAAAAGAGAAGTGACTGATATTCCCTAGACTACCTGAGGGATAGTTGCAAACAGAGTTCCTCACAGGTCTATCAAGGGACCCCTCCCCATTTAATATCTTTAGCCATGATCTGCAGGAAAAGACAGGACACGCACAGCAAGCCTGCAGAGAACACCAGACTGGGAGCACAGAAGATACCCTTCAGGGCATGTCCAACAGGACCCTCACATGAAGGCAAGAAGGTGAAAGCAAAGAGCTTCCCCTGGTACGCATGCAGTAAGCAGGGACACAGCAGTCCTGAGGGCTGAGCAGCTCTGCTGGAAGGGACGCACGCTCCTGTCAGAGAGCAAGCCCTGTGAGGCCGTGGGGCCAGTGCTTGTTCAGCCTAGGTGTCACTCCCAACCCGAGCCACGCTGCACTTAGGTATTGGCTTAGAATTACTTACTATTGGCTGAGAAGTCATGGTAAACAGAAGGGTATTGTTTATGATCACTTCACCCCCTAAAAAAAAATCCTAATGCTACTGATGTCAGTGGCACATCTCCAATATATCTCTGTGCCAAGATATGTACCACAACAGCTCACATACTCATTTGATCAGAGGCTCAAAAGAAAAAAAATTAACAGAAAAAAAAAAAACTTAAAAGCAAGAGAAACACATTCACAGATCAGTTTTTCATCCAGGTTTTAGACTTGCATGACAGCAGAGCATATTCATAGAAACACACAGCAGTGAGGTGTATATATATGTGTTCTTTTATATATATATACACACACACATTAAAAAATACTGATACCTCTAACTTCAATTTAACATCTTCTTTTGTCTTAGAGATGTTGTCTAAGCATGATATTGCTATCTCCACTTGACTGCAGTACTGTCCATAAATAACCAATCTAAATCAAAGGAAGAGATAAAGAATAAAAGGAACATTTGTTTACATAAGAACAATCCTTGATCATTTTTCACAAAAATGTTGTTAACAAAACTAATTTCAAAAGGTAAAGCACTTAAATAAGGATAGGATTTAACCACAGACTTCAGTGGGCAGCACGAATACAAGAAGAATATTCAAGATAATACAGTTTTGATCGACCTTTAAAATGCTGTAAAAACATTAACATTTTCTTTAATATTCACATTTATAGATTCTGATAAATACAGGACTCAATAAAAAGCAGCATAACTTGTTTAAAAAAACAGTCTGTAGTATTTACAACATGGTAGACTTCCAAGGCTGTAATGAATGAATACTGTAACACAGGCTCAACAGTATTTGTCACACCAATCTTTTAAAGAACTTGCAAGTTCCCCAAAGTGATCCAACAGTTTCACCCCAGTTATATCCTGTGAGCTCTCAGATAAAAATAATAGTGTATGAACACTCCAGAAACTTTCAATAGTTGTCAAGGGCAGCAACGTTTCTTGAAGGAGCCTGATTCTATGGCAGGAGTTTCTTGCTCTTGTTTGGAGTATTTCTTCCTGCTAGTCCCACTGCAAAGTGCTGTTCCCTTTCACATTTTCAGATATTCCTTGAGATGACTCTTGTATGCTTCTAGTCTCTTTTTTGAGGTTCCTATGAGCTTTCCATTGGGGTCTCCTAAATTTCTTTTTCTTTGATCAAATCTACCATTCTCCCCCCCCCAATTAACATGATGATACTGATGTAACACTTAATACTTCTGATTACTATTAATGAGTACATGCTTAAGACACTGAGTTTACCTCCGTTTCCTTTTTGTATAATACATACTTGAGGTTTCTTCATAATGTCCTTTGTTTCCCTTTTAGCACACACTTCAGAACTACTTTTAAAAGATAAGCGTTTTCCAGAATAACTTCTTGTCCCCTAATTCCCTCCTCTACAGCAGCAGAAAGTCTAACAGCCTGGGAAATAACCATCCTGCTCCAACATAAAAGCTGAGACAGAGGGTCTCTGAAGGCAAGACTGTTTATGGACAACCTGGGATGCCCTCCTCCCTCAGAAAACCATTCTCCTATCTAATGTGAGAAATTGGACAGCAGCATCCAGAAAACAAGATTGTTATTACTGCAACAGTCCTCTTTCCCCATCACCCTCAAGCAAATCCAGTTAGGTACCACAGGTCTTCCCCACTCTGATTCCAGAAGGAGCTAATTTGTAACCACAACCCAAGGGTTACCTCAAGGTAGGTCTGCACTGTAGCCCACAATACAAGTGTTTTTCAGCGAAGTACCACAGTCATTTAAGTTCATCTATACAGTCCCACAGCTGTTCAGTGCTGGCAGAAAAACAATCTGAATGGTGGGTAAAAAAATTGGCAATTAGCCTGCAGGGCATGGCATGCTGCCACAGCTATCCTGTTATCATCTGGGCTGTTTGTCACAGAAGTTAGAGCACGTTTGCTTTACTGCCAGGCCTTTGATTGCAGGCTAGGGTAAGACCCTGGTCTCTTCTCTCTTCACTTTTGCACCTGCTTTCTCTTCTTTCAAGTTATGACCTCTTCAGTTTTCTTTAACCTGAAATAGCCCTAACATATAACCTTGCCTTATTTTGACCCTTCTTCCCTTTATATAACTTTTTAGCTATTAAAAAATTACAGACTCATGCTATAAAATACCTGGGGTTATTTGCATGAAAAAAATAAATGCTGAATTATTAAGCTTTTTAAGTTCCGTTCAAAATACAGATGTTACCTATGCAACAATATTGCCAAAATTAGAGTGAGAAGAGGGAGGGCTCATAGAGCAATAGGTTCCATTTTGACTTCCAGGCTCAAAATACCAAATGCCAGTCTAAAAATATACTGACACTGAATTCTAACTTGTTTCAATCTTGTATTCATCTAACAAAAATTTGGTACAGCAGTTCACCACATTGAGTATAGATTAACATAATTAGTAAAAGTGAGTAAATCTTACCTTTCCTTGTAGTTAATAAAAATTTGATACAGGTTCTGGTCATTTTTGTTAGCAATGGAATCATTGATATCCTGTGTTAGACTCCTGTGAATTTTCACCAAATCCTTAAAACAAAAACGGGGAGGGAGAAAGGCTTTTAAAAAGAGAACAACTTAAAGCTTTGAAAAGCAAAATAAATTATTTTGTGTTAGATCCATCGATTTCAGTAAATTGGAAAACAGATCATTTGAGAGTAGAACCCAATGTCAAGGTTTGCCACGTCATCTTCATACTGTGACATGGAAAAAATAAACTCCAAGAACTACCTATTAGAGACTAATTTATTCTAGCTTAGAACATGCACTATTAATTCATCTTCATTTTATAATGATAATTTTAAAATTAAGCAAGTCAAGTAAATGCTTTAGTGACATGATAAAGTAATGATTCATGTCCCTGAGCTGTGAAAAATTAGCTTTGTACATTACATTGGTCAATTAGTGATGTTCTAGTGCTAAGTTAACTGCAATCATAATGTTTCCCAATACAGCAGGCAACTACTGGCTGCAAGAATATTGCAGAAAGATTTGCTGCCCGAGTACAGCAGCAACTCACCTTATTTGTTCACTGTAATACAAAAAAATGCACATAACTACAGATTACGTGAGTCTTAACACTGTATGGATACTGTCAGAAAATTCACAAGAAATTAAGTCAAAATAGTCTAAAAAGTTTTGAAATCAGGATAACTGACTAAGCAGTGCACAGACAACTGCAATGAAATATAGAGGACTTTTTTAAAAAAAACATTGAAGATGGCTTAATGCAGTAAATTATATATAACAAAAATAGTTCACAACCCGGTATTGTGTATTAAGTGAAAACTTTTCACCTCACACTGATGAAAACTAAGAATACACACAAAGCCAATTGCCTTACAGATGAGAGAGCAAAAACAAAACAATTGCTAGCAATTGCATGGCCATATCCTCAGAATCCTAAGTTGTCCCAAAGACATTACAAAAATGCTTCCTAATCATTACAGAACAGCATTTTCTTAGGATTGGACAAGGACTCAACTAAGCAACATCCATGAAAAACAGCTTAATGCTAAGGAGACAAAATGTTTTTTTCAGTTTCTATCTCCAATTCAAAGTCAAGTTTGAAATTAAACTAAAATAGTAACGTAATTAGAAGTACCAACACCTCAGTATC